GATATATTTTATATATTATATAGAGTGCAAGATTAAAGCTTCGTGGACGGCTTCTCCTCTTCTTAAACAGCTTTTCATTACAAAAATTAAAAATTTCTGTACACAAAAGAAAGCTTTAAAAAGCAATAAGAAAGCCGTCCCAAACAAAAACAAATTAGACTAATCAGTATTACCCTAAGCTATGTACTATCAAGAATCCTTAGGTCCTAAGTTCATAGAGATTGTAAAGTAACTCCTGCCACATGGAGAAATATTGTTATGCAATTTTAAATGATCATATCATACCAAAAAAACTCATCAAATGGACACACTTTGCTTAATATAAAGAAATACCATATCCTACCAAAAGAACATTTTTAAAGGGAAACGTAATCAAGTCTAAATAATGTAAAATGAGGCATGCTCATAATTCTAAAGTTGATAGACATGAAAAAAGTGCTTTGTTTAACTTTTTCCCCAAATATGAAATCCTAGAAATATATAAATCCAAAGATAAATTTTTTTCTTGATGGCAGAATTAAGAAGGAGAATGATAGGTTTTTAAAAGATTATTAAAATAATTATGTATCTAAAAGTAATCCTCAAACTCTAAATATGCTTTAATCATAAAGCACACATTTAATAAAAATTCATAAATTACATTAAAGAAAATGAATCTCACAAGCCATAAATTAGTAGTCTTCAATTGGAGGGTTTAATAGGCGTGCATTTTAATAAATCATCTCTAGTGATAGACATGGGCATCGATTTCAAAAAATGGTAAACAATTCCACATGCATCTCCTATATTTTTCACAAACATTCTCTCCTCTTCTCTCTCTCTCTCTCTCTGTGTGAGATTAGACTTCTATTGCAGAAGTATTTTTTATAAATCTTTGTAGTACTAATTTCAACTCTGAGAAATTAAAAAATTCAACCCACTCTCTCATTAAGTCAAATTAATTTCACCACATTATTTTAGACTACATTTATGTAGCTCTTTACGTACTCACTCCAACCAAGCCATTCACATGAATACCCTCAATTAGATTGCTTGCATCTTAAAATTAAACCAATTATGGCTCCGTTGGACGTATTCTCCTGCTTCTTAAAGCAGCTTTTTGTACAAAAATAAAACTTTGTACTTAAAGCTGCTTTAAAGAAGAACTAAGAAAGCTGTCCCAAATGAAACTATATTAGGATGAAAAAAGATTAAAAAAAAAAATCAAAACCGAAAATTGGAGAATAAGCATAATTGAAACAAGACCAAGTTCATGTGATTGGGTAAGTTTCGTTATATCAATCAATGCATTAAATTAAATATTCACTATAGTCAAAAGAATAAAAATAAAAGAAGAATGCAAGGTTTCTCTTCAGCAAAGTAGCGATAAGAGTAGATGTCCTGGTTATCTAATATGTCTAAGAGGTAACAATCATTTATGTTCGTTTGCAATGGTTTTCTAGTTGCTTTTTAAAGAAGTTTTTTAGTACAAAATTTTAATTTTATAATTAAAACTGTTTAAAGAAATATAAAAAAAGTCACTCAGACGATGCCTAAGTAAAAGATGAGATTGAAGTAGATAATAGATTGCTATATTTTTTTTCTTCCTTTCTTGTTGGAAAAGTTAAAATAGATGTTAAACCGTTAGATTAGAAGTTTCTCCGTTGAATATTGAAAAACAGCACCACCTTTTTCTTAATTGAAAATAGAAGTTCCTATAATCCCTAAAAACCCCTATTCTCATTTCAGTGGTAGCTCCTATTCCGCCGCTTTTTTTTCTCTTATTTGTATGTGTTGTGAGAGATTAACCTCATCTTCTAAGTCCTATTTATATTGTGAAGAAAGTTTGAGATTTTTTTATTAACTTTAAAGGAAGACTAA